GCTGGCACCAAATATCGATATATTTCATGGCTCCTCAATGTGGCTCTAAACAAACAAATGAATGAATGAATGTGAACAAAAGTTAAATGACCTAAGAACAAGATTTTATTGAATGGAGAACAACAGTGTGAGTAAATTAATTGTCCTAAGTCTGGAAAACCAGCACTTAACCTTTTCACAGGTGCTGTGTTTTCATAGACTAATATCATGATATTTGCTAGACAATCCTTTAATGATACATTGATTATCGCAGAATTGCTGTATTGTGCTATCGGTATTGTGAGCCCTGTATTGTGAGTTACCTTATAATTCCCACCCCTAGTAGGAGCTAAAATTGGTGTGAATGCCCCAAAAGTTGGGTACCTCAGCCTTTAGATCTAGAAGATTGAAAACCCTTATGGCAGTAAATAAAAAGTAATCTGAATTAAAAACCCTTAGCCTCAGGAACCTCTGTGTTAAAGAGCCACCCATTTTAAAATTCATTTCCCCACAGATGAAAAGGAGAGATTTGACCCTACTCAGTTTCAAGAAAGTATTGTTCAAGGCTTGAACCAAACTGGCACTGATTTGGAAGCGGTTGCAAAGTTCCTTGATGCCTCTGGCGCCAAGCTCGATTACCGCCGGTATGCTGAGACTCTCTTCGACATCCTGGTGGCTGGAGGAATGCTGGGTAAGCAGTTATTTACGGCTATTTCAGTGGGCTGGAATTGCAATAAACCATTTTAATTCAATGGTTTGTATTTGTATATATATATTTTTTTTCAGCCCCAGGAGGGACTCTGTCTGATGACTTGACCCGTACTGAGTTCTGCCTCTTCACGGCAAGTGAAGACCTGGAGACCATGCAGGCGTATGCTCAGGTATTCACCATTATAAACCGCTTGGCTGTTAAATAGTCTAACGTTTCAGAGCTTGTTCTGATTTAACGTCACTGTCATGGGTATTAATTGTACTTTTCGGCTTCCTCTTTACATGTTTCAACATATTCACCTTGTGCTGTAGGTTTTTAACAAGCTGATCAGGCGTTACAAGTACCTGGAGAAAGGGTTTGAAGAGGAGATTAAGAAGGTAAGCAAAGTTGTTGAACTAAGGATTATCACGTATTTGTTAGTCAAACAAAGACTGCTTCATTGTTCATCTGTAAAGTCCCATAATGTCTTTTTTTTTCACAGCTGCTGCTGTTTTTAAAAGGGTTCACCGAGTCTGAGAGGAATAAATTGGCCATGCTTGCCGGAATCCTGCTGGCCAATGGCAATATATCAGCCTCCATCCTGAGCAGCCTCTTTAATGAGAACTTGGTTAAGGAAGGTAATGACAGACTTGTTTAACGGCAGCACTTTCTGAGTGAAGAATACGTAAACTAACTCATCGTCTGGATTTTGTTGTAGGGGTATCTGCCGCCTTCGCTGTGAAACTCTTCAAATCGTGGATCAACGAAAAAGACATCAACTCAGTTGCTGCTAGCCTGCGTAAAGTTGGCATGGACAACAGGCTTATGGTAAATATCGTACTGCTGACTCAACTCGGGGGAAATCTGAAATCAGTGCGTTTATTGTGGTTTTAAACTACTCTTTATTATCAGAACATAACAAACACTTCATATTTAACTGTGAGGCGTGCGTGGTTGACATGAGTTTCGTTCCACTTTTGGCAATAAATATTATTGAACATTTATCGAACTCTTGATAATTTTATCAAGGCGGGGTACATGAGCGCCCGGTGACTGCTCAGTCAAATTATCAAATCTATTAAAAATCTATCCATTTAAAAAAAAAACTACATTCTCGCCTGAAAAACTACTACATTTCGTGACGATAACAGTAGGATATTTCAAATGTATATTAAAAAAATGGTGCTTCTAATGCCCTTCTAGGACGTGCAAGTGATCATACTGTGTCAACTAAGCAGCGTTTTGCAGTGAGTCTAGCTCCACCTTTTAGTACGGCTTTTTTGGTACCATTCACAACTTTTGACAGTGGAAACGCAAATAATTACGTACCGTACCGCTTAGTGGAGACGAGCCATAAGTGTGGACCTGTGAAGACCTCTGGTTGATGCATTTTTTTTGTTCTCTCATTTAAAAAAAAAAATGTTTTAATCGATCATCCTCTTGCACAAAACAGGAGCTGTTCCCTGCCAACAAGCGTAGCTGCGAACACTTCTCAAAATACTTCACCGATGCCGGGCTAAAGGAACTCTCAGATTTCGCTCGCAACCAGCAGTCCATTGGAGCGCGCAAAGAGCTTCAGAAAGAACTGCAAGAGCTGATGTCCCGTGGCGAGACCCTCAAAGACGTGAGTTTGTCTTGTCAACAGCTGGGCCATTTATACATTTAAAAATAGGCATCCAAATATTGATTAATTTAAAATATTAAGGATTAACATTTTCATCCATATTTTGACTATGCAGGTTTATTGTTGCCGTATTCAGCTAATGTGTTTTTCTTCCCCAGATCATTGCCTATGTTCGTGAGGAGATGAAGAAAACGAGCATCTCTGAGCAGACGATGATTGGTATTGTGTGGACCAGTGTTATGAGCGCTGTCGAGTGGAATAAAAAGGAGGAGCTCGTCACAGAGCAAGCCATCAAACACTTGAAGGTATCTACATCGCTCATTGAAGCGACATAACTTCCTTTAATTTAATCGGTAGTAATAGTTTCTGCCAACTTGTTTTGCAGCAATACAGCCCATTGCTGAAGGCCTTCACCTCACAAGGCCTGTCTGAGCTCACCCTCCTGCTGAAGATCCAGGAGTACTGCTACGACAATATCCACTTCATGAAGGCCTTCCAGAAGATCGTGGTGCTTCTTTACAAAGGTGTGTCTTCCTTACTTGATCCCTTCAAAGCTATGCACTTAAGCCAAAGGTGTGTCGCAATATGGTAATTTTAAACAAAAATGTTACTTGACTAGTGGATTACAGAGGTCATGGCTGTGTTTTGAATCTTTTTTTCTTTTTCGACTGCCTGTAGCTGATGTTTTGAGCGAGGAGGTTATTCTGAAGTGGTACACAGAAGCCCATGTGGCCAAAGGAAAGAGCGTCTTCCTGGAGCAGATGAAGAAGTTTGTAGAATGGCTGAAAAATGCTGAGGAGGGTAAGTAGGTTTTTTTTTTTTTTTTTTTCTCTCCCTGCCTAAAATGGCTCTTAAATTTTTGCCTTTTTCTTTTCTTCAGAATCTGAATCTGAGGAAGAGGAGGCAGACTAAAACACAATGTCAGCAGAATGTTTTGTTACAGAAGTGCTCGTCTTTCTAATTTTTTTTTTCTTTTGGCCTTTTTTTTTTTTCCTTTTCTTTTTTTTTTATTCTACCTCCTGTTTTTCAAACCATAACATTTAGATGTCATTTAAGGGCTTTATAACAAATGGTTAATTTTAACAGTTTTTTGTAATATAAAGGTTTACACTTAAAATAGCACAAAAGTTGTGGTCAACCTTTGTAATTATTTACTCACTCAAGGAACTTTTAAGTGTCAATACACTTTGGACATCTTAAATTATTGTTAAAATGATTCCTTTATGAATTGACATTCCATTGATTTAGATCAGGCTGCCTTGTTTGGTTTTAAGATGCCCTTTTCTATATGGTATTGATGCCTTCATGCCTCGCCATGATCAGTGTCCACATAGGGAAGAACAGTCAGCTTGTCTCATTGTGATGTTATTGCCAAAGGGTTAAGTCCTTCTCCCATAACATCCATTAGCATTCTGTTCCCTGCCTATGAAACTGTACAGCGCTGAAAACTAATAGCTTATCACCCTGTAAAGACCCTTAAATGACTCCCAACCACTTCTATGATGTATCGCCATCTTATTTGTCACCAATTTCTTTAAACTGAATAACTAATTGACTTTTTTTAAGAAATAAAGACTTAGAAGTATATGCTTTGTCTGTGGTTCTTGCCTATTTTTTACATGCTGTTTTTTTTTTTTGTTTTTTTTTTAAATAATTGCAAAATCAGATTGAGTCCACTATTTTAAAGGCGTGTGCAATGTCCTTCACCAGAGGCACCACTAAAGAACCACATTCAGAACATGTTTTTCAAAAATAATTTATTGGTTGAAAAAGTCACAAGAACAGACTGTTTTTATACAAAATATTTGATAATTAAATAGCAGCTTGTTTGATGTTTGGGATGTGCAAATGACCACTTTTAGAAGAGAAGACATTTCAAGTATTAGAATGACCGGTTTTAGAAGTAGGCCATATTGATATTATGCACTTTTACCTTAATTTTGCTGGAGAAAATACAATTACAAATGACTTACGAAAGCCATGTCATAGTATTTCCAGTACAATGTGGCACTTTTTTTTCTCTTTAGTAAAAGGGGAAAACTCAAAGTGAATGCAAGAAAGTCATGCACAGTCTCCAAAAATACAGGAAAAACTTACAAGTGGAAGTTTTGATTTGTGCAAGACACATGGGTAAACATTTTGGATTACCGGTGGAAATGGCAATGCTTTACATCTTGATGCTTTTACAAAAGTAAAACTCTTAAATGTTTAAAATCGAAGGTGCGGAATCTGAAAATAAACTAAACTGTAATCACAGTAAATATTAGGCTCAAATTTGTGATTCCTCTTTTGTTAATGTAAACAGTAAAACAAAAGTTTCAGCACATGTGAGGATTCAGTAGTGTACTTGAGCTTAGTGCACGCTACAAGCCAGAAGCTTGTCAACCTTTCCCCCAAACCAGGGATAGGCAAGTTTGGTCTTAGTGAGCCTTGTCATGCAGAGTTTAGCTCCAACCCTAATCAAACACACCTTGACAAGCTAATCAATGTCTTAAGGATTACTAAGGCTACAGGCAAGTGAGGTTTTTTTTTTTTTTTCAGGGTTGAAGCCAAACTGCAGGACAGCAGCTTTCTAGGCCTGAACTTACCTACCACTACCTCAAAATCAGTCAAAGTATACTGCCCCTTAAGTCTTGCACACTTTGACAATAGCCAATGAGGAATTGAAGAACCATAGGAATTACTAGCTTCTAAATGTCTCATATTTTGGTTCCATTTGGTGCAAATTAATTATCATATAGCTATTTGCATGTTTGTAAGAGACAATTGTGGAGACTATTTTTGTAATTGACAAGGGCCTCATTAATTTAATAAAATGTTAACATTTGATCTTCCTATCTTTTCTCCTATGTGCGTACATGTGATTCAGAGAACTAACCTCTTCCAGATGTGAAATCGCAAATGATCTTGAAATTGTGTTTGATTTCCAAATACCTGCAGTGCTCAGACTCCAAAGAACAGGTCTGTACATCTGCTAAGACCCTGACGTGGCACTAAGCACTTTTCAAAGTCAGAGACTACTTTTCTAATAATGTATGGAGTTTAGTACACACTCTAAGATCAAATTTGTGCGGACGCACATTTTATAAATGAGGCAACAAGTACGCACTATTACATCGACAACAGTCTTGAAGATTTGAAATGCAATCTTGTAGCATGCCGAAAGCCCTGTTTACACTTGGTATAAAGATGCGTTTGGTCGATCTGATCGCATGATATTTTATTTACAAAGTTTGAGAGGAGCACGTTCAGATAATTAACCCAGGGGCGGAGGGGCGCATTCAGCCAATCAACCCAAATAACGATAAGAGGTGTATATGACTTACCTGTTCGTTGACAATTTATCAACATCCCTCCACCGCCCCATCTCCTCACTTCTACTCTGGGTTTGGGCCACAATTCCGGGCTCTGAGCCCATCCCCCCTCGAACAGCATGCCAAATACGCGTAACCCATAGTGTACTTAAGTGGACGACGCTCAATACAGGTGTAAATGGGGTCTGAAATGTTTTGAGCTGGTCCACTTTCGACCACTTCAGAGGTAGTTGAAAATGCATTCGACCATATTGTTTTCGTAGTGTAGATGCTTATGTTATCGATTTATTCGAACCGCCACAAAAGACCTCCTGCTCTCCGCCTACTTACCTAATTTGTAAACATGGTAAGCGCACTAGCCAGATGGGTTTTCAACTTGAAAATGGAGAAGAAAAAAGAGGTGTAAACCGGTACGTCTCCCTCATCTACTTGTGATGAGATCGACCAATACCAGGTGACCTTAATACCAGGTGTAAACAGGGCCCAAGATGTATGCTTGTGATTTGGACTTGTGGTAACATGGCCTTCTCTCGCGCAATGTCAATGAAATCCACAAGACCGAATTTGGTGTTATGACCTTGTTGTACCCATTTCCTTGAGCATGTCTTCTACACGACAGTCTATGCGGCGTTATGTCACCAAACTGTGGACTCAAAGAAAGACCGTAAGGACTGCAGGTAGCATTTGAGACAAGACTATATCATTTTTGGGGTCAGGGTCATGACCCAAGGCTCGTGTTAGGGATCATGTACCTTGTTCCCAAGACATGAAAGATTATGTTCTCATTATGAAATACTTCCACCTTTAGCATTCAGTTGCGCCACTTGAACTTTTGAAATACATATTGAGCATGCTTTGCCCAACCCAAGTTCTCGTGCCGAGGTTAGATTCTTGGGTGTAGTCTCCTGAGAGACATGTTGGGATTGGGGTCCCAGCTTAGATGTTGAGACAAGAGGGAGGGGATGAGATTTTGCCTGCTGTTGTACTGACAGCGACCACTGCAAACCGCAAGGTTTCAGTTACCATCATGTGACATGCAAGAGGCAGACACAAGACTGTTTTTTTAAGGCAAGGGATGGTGTAGCTTACTATATCTGATACTGAAATAGCCTCCCACCAGGTGCAACGTTACACATATTCTCCAGTTACATTAACCAATAACAGTTGATAAGGTGGCCACACATGCAGAAGCAACACATTTATCGGAAATGCAGAAAAAGTGCAGATTCTTCAAGAATCTCTGAAAGAAGATCTCTCTTCTTGTCGCTCATTTTGGCTGTCCTCAGAGATTTAAAAAAAAAAAAACATACAGCAGAAAGTCTTGTCTCTGTGCAAGGCGATGTCTATACATGTAAACATTCAGAAGTTGAGAGCTTGTACATAGCAGCAGTCAGTCAGAGAACTTCTGCTGTCACGCAGTTGTTTGCTTTTCTCCGTCTCTAAGCTGCAGAAGTAGATGATAATTGAAAGGCGTTAGAATTCACACATGCACAATTTTTATCATATCAGTTTCAAATTGTGTGTGAAATACACAGGGATGGGTTATTGCTGTTAAACAGCTAAGAGGACAATTCAAGGAAAGCTATTTGCATACTATTTACTACTGACAAGTAACGTGAAATCCAATATAGTTTGGCATGCAAATATTTTCCCAAATATGCCACAATTTCTGGCAATCCCAACCTTGAAAGACTCAGGTAGAAGTTGATAGTTTCGCCACCTTCAAGGACTCACCATTTTCCTTTGGTTACTCAGGCAAAAGGTGCAGATGGGTCGTACTGGTGGGGTTTTGAGGTTGGTGTTGCTTTGTAAGATGTTTTGATATTTTAGACATGGTTGCCCATCCCTGCAGTCCTCCCCTAGCAGAAGCACGTTGGCCAGGTGTGAAATGTAGCTTGATGCCAATCGCAGAGTCTCAATTTTCGACAACTTCCTATCGGCCGGCTCCGTGGGGATGAGGGTGCGTAGAGCCGTGAAGGCGGTGTTGACGCTGTGTGTACGGTCTCGCTCCCGAGCATTAGCTGCCTGCCGTTGTTTACTAACCCCTGAGAGTCTACGGCCTCCTCGGTGTCTCCCCGCCTCCCTGTGGCCCCGTGTTGGGCTCCCTGTGGATTTCTCCGAACTGTCACTGCCGCTGTCGAGCTCATCAGGGTCGGAGGGTAAGCTCTGGGTGTCGTGTGAAGGATGTTCATGAGTTAGCCCTTGCTCGCCTGCAGTGGACTTCATGGTGTGCAGAGACAGACTGGTTGTTGTGGGTAGTCCATGGCATAGATGCTGGCTGCCCATGGTGCTTTAAGCTGAGTGAAAATAGCAGCCGGGGGGCAGCTGCGTCTGATCCGGTGTCCAGAGATCTTCCGTGGCCCCGTGGCACTTCAGCATGCCATTTTTTGAATGACTGATCCCTTTCTGGATTTGTCCACCACCATGTGGCTGTGGAAAAGGATGGACAGGTGGAGCTGAGGGGCACCTGTCATGGCCCAAAGAAGGAGGACGTTTGAAGATGTATAAATAAATGCGCGCACTTACACGCATACAGGGATTTGGGTGTTTGTTCACCTTTGGGCTGTAATATTTGGGTCCTCTGGGTGATCTTATGCAGGTCAACAGTGATTTGCTCTACTTTCTCTGAGACGACCCACCTCTGTTTTTGTCCCTTCATTCTAGTCCATTCATCTCTCGCTCCTGATATTGTTGGCTAAACATATCATGCTTTCTAAGTCTTCGCATGCTATATAATATCTATGCAATAGCTAAGCAACCTTGTTGTTTGACCCAGTGCTAAATTTAGCTCAGAAAAGTTTACAGACAGAGACTGTTGTCGTTGCCTGTAAAATTCGTATCACATGGGCTATGGGTCACTTCAGGTCCAAAAGGGGAGACACAGTTGGGACTTTGCTGCACATAGGGGGCAGTGTTTCAAATCTGACAATGTAATTCAGAACACCTGTTTGACATGCTAGCAATGAGAAAGACTGTGAAGAAAGTTACTGAAGAGCTTTTTACTTACTTTTGTTGTGTTACTATCAATGTAGCTGCAAACATTTGATTACTTGTAGGTGTAATGAACATCATTGCTCTGAAAGTTTACCAAAGAAAAAAAAAAACCTACTTAGCCAGAAGTTTTGACATCCACACCAACACCACCACAAGAAACAATTAAGTGATATTAAAACTATTTAACTAAGGGGTTGTTTACATGACACAATTTTCAACTAAAAGCTTTAAACTTTTTATGCGCTTTGTCCATTCATTTAAGACTTGCCTGAAAACGCAAACTTTTGAAAACCGTTACACCAGAGGGCATCTCACACAGACACACCAAATATGCCCCACCGCAGAAGAGCAAGAACACGCATCACTCCAGGAAATCCCTATCAGGCCATCGTCTCACAGAAGGATGCTCAACTGTCATTATGAGGTGAGTTGGGAGTAAAAGCATGTAATTAATTGTTGTCTTATGTTGGACAAGAGGTTCGTAAATGCTTCTCATCTTTTTCAAATGCAAGTTTTAAGTGACTCAAACTCTTTGCTTTCAGATGAAGTAGCTTTTTCTGAGCCATATATTAGTGACAAGCTGCGCACTACACATAATCGCAGCCTTTGCGATTTCATAATCACGATAAGCCAAATTGGTTGAAGTGCAATTACATGGTAATTCCCAGTATCCATGCAGCCCTAGTTTTCGCAGATCCATGTGAACTTGCATCATTTAGACAACATTGTTGTCTGTATGTGATAATACTTTTCCATTTTAGTACATCGGTATCGAATAAATGTACCCTAAAAGTCTTAAAGGGTTAGTTCACCCAAAAATGAAAATTAAGTCATTAATTACTCACCCCCATGCTGTACCAACCCCGTAAGACCTTCGTTCATCTTCGGAACACAAATGAAGATATTTTTGATTAAATTTGAGAGCTGTATAACTACCACATTGGCTCCTAAGGGACTGCCTCTTGACGGCCCAGAAAGTCAATGAAGAAAGTGTTTAAATATCCCAAGTGACTACCGTGGCTCAACTATATGTTTATCAAGCGACGCGAATACTTTTTGTGCGAAAAAACAAACAAAAATAACAAGTTTATTCGACTATTTCTTTTCTTCCTTGTAGGCCAGAAACGAGACTTCCTTAGATTTCCACTACGCATGCGTGAGAATTGCGATCTGAAGTAGTGTAAGCTGGTGTAAGCAGATCGCAATTCTCACGCATGCGTAGTGGAAATCTAAGGAAGTCTCGTTTCTGGCCTACAAGGAAGAAAAGAAATAGTCGAATAAACTTGTTATTTTTGTTTGTTTTTTCGCACAAAAAGTATTCGCGTCGCTTGATAAACATATAGTTGAGCCACGGTAGTCACTTGGGATATTTAAACACTTTCTTCATTGACTTTCTGGGCCGTCAAGAGGCAGTCCCTTAGGAGCCAATGTGGTAGTTATACAGCTCTCAAATTTAATCAAAAATATCTTCATTTGTGTTCCGAAGATGAACGAAGGTCTTACGGGGTTGGTACAGCATGGGGGTGAGTAATTAATGACTTAATTTTCATTTTTGGGTGAACTAACCCTTTAACCAGTAGCTGCAGTTAGCGTTAGCTTGTAGCTAACATAATCGCCGCTGTATAAGGGTGCTCTCTCTTGTATGCTGTCATCCTATTTCTCTTTAATGCCCTGTCTGACTGAACAGTCCAGGTGTGTCCATTTCTCTAGCAAGCACATACTGTGTTCCATCTAAAAATATCAGTTAGAGTTCAGCACATCATGCATTGCTTCTTTTTTGTATGCTACTTTAGGCAGTGTTTTAATTTTGGTTTATCTATTACGTTTAGTTACACTCTGTAATGAAAACTGTTTACTTTATAACTTGATTATCTTTAGTCACATTCTATGGTTTAGTTCAGTTGTCCCTGTTCTGCAGAATTTAGCCAACTTGCCTCAACACACCTGCTTGGAAGTTTCTGATGTACTCAGTAAGACTATTAGCTGGTTCACGTGTGTTTAATTGGGGTTGGACCTGAACTCTGCAGGACAGTGACCCTCGAGGAGCAGGATTAGACACCCCATGTTTCAGTTAGACTCCGTAGTAGGACACTAGGTTCATGTTTTTGTGGAACCACCACTAGATGTCAGTAGCAAACCACTGGAGATTGTTATTCCAGCTTTTTAAAGCACAAGGATTCTGTACATGAATAAGAATATAAGTGAACTAATGGGGCATGAAAACAAAACAAAATTCTAGTGTGCCGTTACCATATTAGAGATTTAAAGTTCTTGTGTGGAAATTGTTTTATGAGCAGTCAAATCATAATGCATGGAACTTGTCAGGACTTTGTTTAAATCTAAATTCCCAATGATTTCCCTTTAGCCTTTTGGTAAGTTTGTCCAAATTAGTTAACTGATAAATCTTTACTCTTATCCATTCACATGACAACTCTTCACTAATTTGTTTCACCCTCTGAGCTCTTCTTGCAGACCTGAATTATAACATTCTCCCAAAGTCCATGCGCACATGCTAACACAATACGCGTGCTGCATCCTCAATGAGCCGCCCGTGGCCCAAACATACGCTCCAACTGGTTTGTTGTTTATCCTGCAAGCATCGCCTCTAATCTTTAAGAGTGCCTGCTGGGATGCAAAACAAAGATACGCCATTGTAATCCTCTGAGAGTTTGCTTGGCACTTAAATTTGCAGGTGAAAGCTCCTGGTAAGTTGCACAAACTAGACATTGGCTTGTAGCAGTGGTTTCCTGGATACCTGCCTTCGTGGCAGCAAGTGGAGCATGAAACAATTCATAGTTTCATTGAACAGTTTTGCAGCTCCAAGTTTACATACAATATGACATGGTTTACACTCGGTTCCAGTTGAGCGAAGGTGAGTGCCAATTAGCATTTTAAAGGCCTAATTTCCCGTGGAGCAAGATTATAAAGCTCTGTGCACACCTTTTAAGCACCTGTTTTAAAACTCTGTTGGAAAGCGTGTGATTAGATTGCCAAATTAGAACATTTTCAAAGCCCCAACAAAAGCTGCACTCGCTGGCAGCTTTCTCTCAATGGTTTTGGAGTGCTTTTAAATACAGGTCACCATACAAAGGATGCCCCCTCCACCTACATAAATTCACACACTTTAACTAATCTATTTTGAAACCATGCCATAAAACATAATCTAAGTGAAAGGGCAATTGCAAATCATATCTGTGAGATGCTGGTCTACTGCATAGAAGCGCCAAGAGACCATTAGCATCTAGTTATGTAGTACATTTTCATGTCCTCATCGTATATTAAATAACATAGTCTATACACGCTTTCAGCAGTGACAACATAAACAAACGGTACTGCGCATGTGCATTAATCTGGCCCAAACTTCCCAGCTAACAAAGTTAGGTTCTGAGAACGTTTTTCTAACGTTCCATTTTGGTTGTGGGAACGTTAATTTAAAATGTTCTAAAAACGTGGAAATGTCCAGTTTGCTTAACGTTGCTGGAACGGTGTCTTAATGTTTGCAGAACGTTGCTGGAACGTTAGCATAATGTTGTTAGAACGTTATCCTAAGGTTAGCATAATGTTGCTGGAACGTTATGAGAACGTTTATCAAACACAAATAACCTGATAAAGACGTTCCGATAACGTTGTTCTAAGAACGTTTTTTATCAACGTAATGAGAACGTTCATCAAATACAAATAACGTGATAAAGACGTTCCAAGAACGTTGTTCTAAGAACGTTTTCTCTCAACGTTACAAGAACGTTAATAATGTTATATGAACGTTCCGAAAACATTATTTTAATAACGTTTTGTCCTAACATTTACACAACTTTTAAAGAACGTTAGTGAATGTTCTGGGAACGTTCCCTGTTAGCTGGGTTAACTTCTGGCAGACTTGCGGAGACAATTCATAACCCATAACAAGTAAATAACCTAGTAGCTGGTATTTCTTGCCAGTTAAAGAAAATAAATGTTAACGTTACCTGGCCAAACTGAAATGTGACATTACCAGACCCGTTGAACAAAAATTGGAGACAAGATGTTTTTCTACCGACGTGTCTGATTTACCGCAGTGTTAAAAAAAAAAACTGTGGCGAGCGCGACGGCGGGGTTTGATAAGGTTAACATAGCTCTCCTTATTAGCTAGGCTTCTTACATGCTTGCTAACCTTTTTTTAAGGTGGGTCTCCACATTGACAGCATGTTGGATGGATCTGTGCAGCGCTGTTTATGATACTAACCATTCAATACACAGACTGGTCCGCTGTCAATGTGTTTGCGAGAGAGAGAGAGTGAGAGTGAGAGCGTGCGAGTATACGCTGCACGCAACTCTGCAGTCAATTGACCTTTCGCCGGCCCCTCCCACAAAATGGCCATTGTCCAATCACACATCATAGCAACCGTTACTGTGTGAGCTGTTCCGTCAAACAGTAAGCGGTGCACGGCGTTTGTAAATCGGACACATGATACCCCGAGAGATTGTCTGGAGAAGTTGTGTTTTTTCCCTTTCCAAAGACCAAAACACAACGCGAGTGGTGCCTAAGATGTATTAAACAGTGTGGACGCCCCAATTCCAGTTAAATGTGTCGAACATGGTTAACTCGTCTCGCGTGCAGCATGCGTGCGACTGAGATTAGTCAAAGAAGCACGGAGAAAGCAGATCAAGAGGATCCACAAAGGACTTACTGTACATTTTCTAAAGGGTTGTTGTTAACATACCATGATATTCTCTGGGAAAATGAGCAGCAGTCAGCTAAGTTAGCAGTGCAGCACCGTAGACTACAGTTTAGAGGACGTTCGCAACGGGGAAAGCATTAAGCTTACATGACAACATCAGTTCATATATCAATATCGTAACGAATAGAAATAACCTTAAATAACGTATGGTTCTCTGCCTCTTTCAGTCTCTTATGCATAACGTTAGTTACTTTTTAAACACGAAAATCGCATTCAGCATGAGCATGACACGCAATCGGTTGCTGTGGTAGCTAATGAACAACCTGCTTGTTAAAGCGAACGTGCTACTCCTGTATCGGAGGCAAAATGAATAAATATGCAGCGCAAGTTATATATTTTGAACTCCAAACAATTAGCCACTGAACCAGTTTATAAAATCTTCAAGGCTGTGCTGGTTGCATTTGAGGTAACTTAGCATGGTCATGGGGTTTTTCTGATTCTTCTTGAGACTGGTAAGCATTAGCATCAATAGTAGTCGTGTCCCATTCATTTCTT